TGTTCCTTGACTTTGCTGGGTCGAGATTTCGCTTTCTTCCTGGTTGCTTCGTTATCACTTGTCGCTCAAGTTCGTCCGCAATCACCCATCCTCTTCAGCTTGACGAGTGGGTCTTTGTTCTCTGCATGACGGGGTTTCCTGTTTCTCCTGTAGTATTTCCCGCAGTTACATTTTAACTTGTAAACCCAGCCTAGAGAGGTATTATTCTGAGAATTATTTAATAACACATTAAATTTATAAGAACTTTTATATATAAAAGTGACACTGTATTTACTGTTAAGTAGTAACTTTTCACTAAAGTTCAAGCTTTTTATGATACGGTAAAAATTAAGTAAGGTTTTTTATATGTCTAGTCAGCGTTGCAACTAGATTTAAAGTGGTTTGGTTTATTCTACGGTTCATAATGTTAACTTGACATGCCTTATTTCGTCTTTAACTAATTCATTACTGCAGAGCTTCAGGGCTCTGTCTGTTAAAGCTGTAGGCACAGAACGTTTACTGTTTAAATGATTATGTAATTTAAAGTTTAGATATTTGTCAGTGTTAGTAGGAATAGGATAAAATTTAGTTTTATGGTAGTTACCAGAGTTGATTATTAAGGCATTAAGGGAGAGAAAACGGGTTTCCTTCTCTTTCAACAGCTAGCTCGATATTTTGAGGGGGAAAGGCTATTGAACAGGTCTACTAATAACCTGTTTTCATCACTATTCGGACAGATGGAAAAAATGTCATCAATATAACTTTGAAAACCCTTGGAAAAAAGTCTGGGTTCGTGTTTCGAGCCACATTTTCAAAGTATTCCATAAAAATTTCGGCAAGTAAACCATTTTACGCTTTTTTAGTGTGAATACCAGCGATCGAACGAATTTCTCTGTTTTCTCTGTTCCCGTGATTGTTCAGTTTACAGGACGTAAAAGTTTGTCCAGACAATCGTATGAAACCCGTTAATAAAACAATATTGCATCGTAGAGCCGTGTCCGAAACACCCGATCAGCTAATGTACGTGATCCGTTTCGAGTCGCAACATTCGTCGTCGCAGCTACAGATGTATCGGCATCAAATCGCTGATAATGATAAATGAATAGTGGTGGCTAAATGCATGCGTTAAGCGACATTTCGGCCGCGAACTGATTTCAGGGCACAACTCGTCTGAAACGCTACAAATTCGTCCCATCGCGCCAAGCGTCTCGATTAATAATTCAGCAAAATTCAACGTAAAGTTCAGAGTTCTTAGCACTCAGTCAAGCAACAGACTCACGTATGACAACATGTATTTGTATATGACCGATACTTTGAAAGGCGACTGGAATGAAGTATATAAGTACAAGAAATATAAAACAAACAACGATCTTTCAAGTGATTTCATTACTGAATGCATATCAAACCTGAGGCAAAGAATGACTACAATACGTGTAACTGTCGCCAGAACACCAATAACCAGTCTACCGAATAAATTCACACAAAATCACCATAATAGCGTACAAACTTACTACAGCTATGGTATTCCACTCCATCGTGCAAGAAGGTCTTCTATCCATTCTATCCAGAACTCCATCTTCTAAAACCACGCCACCTATCCAGCGCACGTCGCTGGCGACCACTCGCGTGAAGCAAGGCCGTCACCTTGTTGGAAAGAGGACAGACAGACGGACCATTCCATCTAATTATGACCACATACAGAAATTACGATGGCCAGCTGACTGAATGAAACATTAAAGTATGCATATCACAAAACTGTAACAAATCAAGAATAGAACTTACCACAATTAATGTAATCTACTTTATAGTGCGATGCGGATTTCACTTCAGCATGACTACGTCCATTCTACGCCACAGAGAACACTTCGGTGACAACCGCAGCGGCATAGTCTCGTAGCTGTGCCATCACTTTGTTGGAGAGCGGAGAGCCATATCGTACAGGTGAAGTTTCGTGAAATTTGATTAGTGAAATTTGAATACAGAGCGCGCAGCACCAATAACGATTTCGACTAAAGTATGAAATAAATTATTTCTAACATCGCAAACCTGCAAATCTCTTTCATTGTTACCGTATGTTGTCAGTATTTGTTGCTCGCAAATGCGAACAGCGATATCGGAATATTATGATATTATAGTTTAATACGAAATCAAGAAGTTGTAGTCACTCTACACATCACTCAAATAAGCAAAGTTAACTGCCAATTTTCTTGCATTCTTAGTATAGTTCAAAACATATTTCCATTGTGTGCTATTTCTTGTTTCCAGCTGATCTTTCGCGAATTTCTGGGGCAGCGATGATTGACGTCGTGTCGTTCGCTGTATGTTAAATAACGTTCACATGCAAGTGACCTTAAGTACTTACTGCGAGCAACGTAGGTAAGAAAAATTTATTTTTTACTCATGTAATGGTACTAGTCGATCGTTGCCCGTGTTCTGCACTCAGGCAGGATTTCGTACTACTTTGGTGAAGCAGAAATAGTTCTTAACTACCTATTCGTTGTTGCTGAACCCACAAGCAGAAACTGCATGCGAGCTGTGGCTATTAGAAAGAGGAAACGGTTTATGAAAAGCGAATGTGTCTGTTTTATCATCACATCTACACCGGTTTGAAATTGAAATTTTTCCGCTTGATTGGCATCACCAATGAACACCGTTTCTATAGCATACAGAAAACAGATTTTATCACAGGAGGAAAGGAAAACACTTAGTATTACGCGATACCTCAATACAGATGAGTAAGAACTATGTAGACTGTTTAACTGTCTTCGAGAGCGGCACGGGTTCAGAACTTTTTCATCGAAACAAAAATTGAGGACGAACAGAAATACCTGTTTCCAGTAGTAAGGAGGCAACGTTCAATCTGTTGCCCTAAGACTTTCGTAACGCGTGGTTTTGGCGAAGAATAAAAGGTTAATTCGCACGGGCAATTTTGTCAACAGCCGTAGATTCGTAGATTATATTATAAAATGTAACAAAAAAGCAGTGCGGCTCAACTCCGGAAATGCCGCAAATAGAGGCCGTCTCCAGTGATGCGTTGCTGCTCCTCCAGGTTTTTTCCATCTTAGACAGGAAGGATAGTACGAACTTGCAACGTGCCTCAGTACGCGCTGGTGGACGTTGACCTTACTTCCGGTATCCAGATGCAAGGAGTTTAAAAAGAAAAGTTGCAACCGTTGGAAGGTCTGTCTTCTTCCACTTGGGGTCATTTCTGGTGTCCTATTCATGAAGTTAATAATGGGCTTTGATCCCCATTTCAAACCCATCCGCCAGAAATACCCAATTTTGAAGGCAAAACCGACGTCGGCAGAGGATAGTGCGTAGTCTCCTGTTTCTTTTCCATTGAGTGACATTAATTTATCAACCTCGGAAGCAAAAAATACATATGACCCGGCTGAGGCTCGAACCTGACTCGACCTCTCGATTTTGAGTCCGTCGCTCTACCGATTGAGCAGCCCCCGTCCTAGGAACTGAACTCTTCCGAGCTTAATTTGCAAGGGGATGGCAGTTACCCCGGTACCAAGCCGCCACACTATTCATATAGCATATGAATATTCCCGGTCACTGATATCCGCTGAGTGAATAGTACTGAAACGCGAAATGGTGTGACAGCTCGCTACTGAATGAGAAGCGTTTTTCTTTGTTGCTTAGCGAATACAACTGAACCCACATGGGTAATCAGCGGTATCAAGGAACCAAAGTTGGAGAGACAAACCATCGCTCTCGAAGCCGGTATCTGGAACCTAGGCAACCTCAGTCGGTAGATAGACAGTTAGTGCACTTAAATCAATCAGTTAAGTTTCTTTGCCTGAACAACCACAGTTGCTTTCAGCAGGAATGGGCCCATCACAGTTAAGAACGGAAAGCCATTGACAGATTTACACCTACAACAATATATTACGGCTCTCAGTGCATCATGATTAAGCTTTTTTTACAGGCAGCTTACTTTCTTCATTCGGCTGCCTTAGAAACCTGGCGAGAAATGGTAAAATCGACCTCCGATAGAGCTAAGTACGATCGGGGATTGACTCTGAGTTTCCGGATGTTCGGAAAATGTCATTCCCTGTAAATTAGAATACTGATGGGGTCTCGGTACTCTGGATACGTTGACTGGTTGCCGGCAACCTCGATGAAGGGCAAGCGTTAGTAGGGTATGCATTTCTGGGCTTCAGCTGCTTAAGCTGTTGGCCAACATCAGGCGGTTGTTTGGCATCCTTACAGGTGTCACGGTGATGTGGTGCGACCTAAAGGTTGCACCTTTTCCAATCGCCTCTCCAATCCTTTTGATCATATATGAAGTTATAACTAGTTGAGCAAACGTCATTCTCTGTCGAAAGGGCGGGCGTGATGTATCATTTTATGTCGTTATTCCTGTTTGTACAACATCTGTTTTGGGCTTTGATTCGTTAGGAGATTAGACACGGGTTTCAGGTCATTTTATTGGCATTTACGGTCAGAACGTTCTTCACTTAGGACAGATAGCATCTATGGGCATAATGAGATCCATGATTAACCGTTTCTGAGCTCATGTCCAACTTTCGACTGTCGTAGCTACTGGTTAGCAGATGCACATGATCTTGTTTCACCTTACTTTAGATTTTTACGTTCTTTGAGGCTCTTTAGTTTTGAGTCTGGCTTTATGTCGCGTTTGTCCGGAAGTTATTATATTTGCATGAGTTTATCCACACTTTTCGTATTTTAAGTAAGTACTTAAAAACTCAGAGTAATTTTGTTTAGATGTTGGTTGCCCTTTGGATCTGCTCTGCATTTTGCATTTTGCAATCGACGGAGTGTGCCGACACTTATGATGAAGAGCTGGTGGCGTCTCATCTTCCCGATGGAAGCATACTGGCGAGTTTACGCTTTTCGATGCTGAAGGACACCGATTTGGGTACGCACGTAGACTGGAGTCGTCGAAGGCAGCGACATGCAGGCGCCTAAAGAAAGCTTGTTTCAGGTGACCACTACAACATGTTTCCGATGGCACTAGGCGAGGTACTACGTCGCTATGACGTTACTGAGTTGCACCTAAGCATGAGTCAAGGCTTTTGGCGTCATCGATTTTGGGGGTACACGGATCCAAGCGTGCCCACCGGCGCTCAGCTTGTCGCTTGGTTCGAAAATCGCAATGCGTCCGGGTAAAGTTGTCGATCGCTTACGCTGTGCTAATCCGCAACAATTGTTTCAGCGTTGATCAGAAATGGAAAGGACTTATCCATGCGCTGACCGGGTTATTCTGTGCGTCGCTGTCTCAGATCAATTCACAATTGACGGTTCGTCCGCAACAGACCCATCGAATGCGCGGCGTGTCTAGCAGTGTCATCGGCAACGACAGTCGTTTCGTTCGCTATGGTGTTTTGCCGAGTGAAAACGTGTGCACTGAAAACTTGACTCCGTGGAAAAAATTACTTCCCTGTAAGTCTGATGTAAGTACTGATAGTGGTTATAGCAAAAGCTAAATGCCGTACGATACTCTGCTGTTGGTGAATTAAGCGCGGTTCTTTGCACCTGTAATTGAAGCCTATAACTTTCAGCAGCTTCGCGTGCTGCTGTTTAGAGGCAGATTGAGCCCTATTAGTGGTCCTTAATGAATGTCATTTTTCACAGCTCAAATGTACCTTAAGGAGTGTTTCGTCGATTGCAGAGTTTATAATTTCTTGCGATCGAAAAACGGGAAAAGTACAATTGGCGTCAATATTTTACTGAGACCCTTTTAGCCTTCGTCATGCACAAGTTCATGAATGCGTTATGTACGTGTACATCAATGGTTCAAGAGATGAGGCACTGATCCGTAGTGTGGAGGAGCAACCGCCGAAAAAGAGGTGGCTGTGCCTGAATTCACCGAGCAACTTCTGAGCGGCCCAAGCCTCACTGAGTCGTTACCGGGAACTTCATTCAGCCAGAGTGAAGGACAAGCAGACTTTCTGTCCAATGCACATTGCAAGCATGAACAACAGCTAAAGCCATTTGCCAAGATCGTAAGACACTGAACGCACAAACAAACGTGGCCCCCGTCCCTTGCGTTCAACTCGAGTCATACTATGGCTGTCTACAGCGTACGGCTGACCGATGATCGATGGACTTCAGCAATGACAGATTTGTATCCAGGAGG